TCTGCGTTTCGCTTGGTGAGTGTAGGTGGCCGGAGGCTCTTTTTACTGGAAATGAGGCATTCCATCTTAGTCCTCACGGGTGACAACGCATCTACATTTTGATTTGTAACAGAGGATAGATGTAGATGTCTATGGGCCGCAGCAACCACTTACCATCAGGTGGACTGTGTGCTCGTTTGTCACCCTTATCCTATAAAAAAAAATAGAAAAAAATCACAAACATACCTCTAAAATTTTCTTTTTTCGATTAAAAACCATACTAATATACATATACAGCCATTCGAATTGTTTTGTCAGCTTATTTCACAAGCAACATATTAACGTACTAGTGTTTAAATTTTTTAATCCAATCAATAGATTTTTAAATCGCATATTCTGTTTTCTGAACATAATACGTACGCATGTGTGCACAAACTCATGTGTACCGACAGTGCCGGCCGAGGCCTGATGCTATACAGATATTGTGTAAATGTGTGCGTGCGTCTTTCGAGGTCACTTAGCTCTTGTAGTCCTCATACAGCACGAGACTTAACAGCATCTTAACCCCTTCTCTGTCCCATAAGTCATATATGAACATTTCAATTGTGTAACTATTGTGTTTCGCGGCATTAAAGCGGCAGAGGTGGTGTTGCAATGTACACATGGAATTGTCTGGACTAATTCCAGTCGCTCAATTATATACATCATCTGGATGATTGGCGGTCCACCTGCGATTTACCACCACTGAACACTGTGCGATTTAGAAGATGTATTCTTCCTCGCACAACTTCCTTGTGGAATCGATTACCACCAGCGATTTTTCCGGACCGATACGACTTAAGGACCTTCAAGAAAAGAGCTTAATCTTTTTTAAATGGCCGGCAACGCATCTGCAATTCCCCTGGTGTTGCAGTTGTTCATGGACGGCGGTAGTCACTTACCATCGGGTGAGCCGTATGCTCGTTTGCCCCCTCTCCTATATGAAAAAAAAAACACAAGTGTGTTAATATAAGAAGGAATAAACAAATATATTTACATTTACTTTTTATATATTTTATATATTTAACATGGTAAATGTTACGATGATGTTAATTCTCATACTCGTTTGATTTAAACATAAACACTCACGCCTGTCATCCAGAGGGGTAGGCAGAGACTACGGACTTCCATTTGTTACGATCCTGACACACCTCTCTTTTACATCCATATATCTACGCATACACGCTCATCGTTTAAGGGTACTCCTAATCCGGCCCATTTTCAATATATCGCCGACTCTGCCGTTCACATCTGCAATATAGATTTGCTTTGTCACTCGTTCCTCGTTCATTCTTTCTACATGACCAAACCACCGAAGCATTCCTTTTTTAAATCCTAGCCACAACATCATATTGCATCATCGTTTGATATATATGTCTTTATTTAATTTTAATTTTGTTACTTGCATGTCTCCTTATATTCCTTATTGTTATCCAGTGCTTGGCCGTAGCCAACCTCACCTAAAATAAGTGACGATGAAGCCCTAGATGGAAAATTGCATTGTCTTAGTTTAAAAACATACCTATTCACCTTTGCCTTAAAGACGCTCAGATTGTAATTGGACGTAGGACTGACGACAAATTACACTCTCTTTCTGTACGCATTACGAACAACTTTGGCTCGAATGCGTGGAATATTGACAACAAAGGGACCATTCGACCGCCTGGTTGTCTGATAGTGGAAAGAGGTGGAAGGAATTAAGGCATGCACTGCGCACAGTCTTCGAAATGCGTTTCCTATGAATTTTGAACATATGTTACAACTACTTCATTTTATTTCTGTTTTACTTTAATGGCGACTAGAGCATGCAATACCGTTACATCGTTACCGCAATTTCGCGAATTTCGCGCTGTATTTCAGTACCACAGAAACAGAAACTTTTTTATTCAATATAGATTATAAAAATAATACTTATAGAAAGTCACTCTTTTGTTTGCTTACCACTGGTTCGGAAAAAACCTCTGTCCTAGGAAGAACCAGCAAGAAACCCAGCGGGACTTTTTTTTAAATAACAGCTTACAATCATGATGTTACACAAATTAACAACACAACAAATTAGAAATGGCTTGGTAGCGACAAAAGCGAGATTACAGGTGCGAATTTCGCAGTATTAAAAACGAACCCGGTATGAAACCGGAGTAACAATGGGTAAATATCTGGAGACTGTGTATAAATATCTGCTAACGAGCGTAGAAGCTGAGAGAGCATGTTCGGCTGCTGGATACATATGTAATAAACTTAGAAGTTATTTAAATGATGAGACAGTGGATATGATTTTCTTTTTACATAAACATTTCCAAGGTAAAAATTGAGATTAGGGTTGTATGTGTGATTAATTGTAGTTATCTCATGTTAGTGTTTTAATTTAACCGATTAAAGATTTTTTACTCACATTATTGTTAGATATAGTTAAACCGCTATTAGGAAGGATTTTTTAATTTCGCAATATCTCAAAATTGCATGCTATATTGCATGCTCTAATGGCGACTGATAGAGAATAGCTGAGGTATTAAGTTTTATTTTCTTTAAAAAAAACCTTACCCCCACCACACGAGTTTCTTCTGTATCGTGAAAACAGTTTACATACATATATTGCATAAGGACAAACATCTATACCCGGAACCGTTATTTATAGGCTATACAAACATTAGTTAAGAGCGGGATTCGATCCCGCAGCTACTAAACGCCGCACTTCAATGGTAAGCTACTGTGCCAAGGGACCGTCATTCCACTTTTCTACATTATATTGTGTATATATTATTATAAGTAAATATGTACAGTAGAACGAACGTGATAGAGTCATGCTGCAGCAATTTTATGGTCGTAGCACGGACCCGTCGGACCGACCGGGGTAGGACAACGCTCTCACAGAATATCAACTTCTAATCGCAGCTTAATGCTGCTGTGTTTCGTACGGTGATAAATAAACGGAGACACTTTTTACTGGAAAGAGGTATTCCATCTTATTCTCACGTTGAGACAACACATCCGCATTCTGATTCATAATCGAGGATAGACGTGGATGTGTAAGGGCCACAGCATCCATTTAACATCCAGTGGAGTATTCTATTAAAAAAAATACATAAATAAATAAGTGGTAAAATTAAAAATTTTGTACAAACGACTTCAATATAAATAAAATGAGAACATCATCAGTGTAGTCGAAATCAATTAAGTACGCATTATCAAGGATAACTCAAAAACTACTAGTCAGATCTTGATCAAATTTATATACGAAGCACCAGCTTTCAAATTAAAAAAAGAACCATCAAAATCGGTTCACCTACAAAAACGTTCCCAGACATAAAAAATACAGTCGAATTGAGAACCTCCTTCCTTTGAAGTCAGTTAAAACATTATGTTGTTATAGTAAATCGCTTAAAACTTAAGTCACAAAATTAACCTAGCATTGACATCGTGTGTGGTTTTTGATCTCGGCGACACCTGATCATTAATCACGTGCTTCAAGCGGGAATTTTATAAAAAACAAAACGTTTTCTGATTCCGCCCACGATGTACCAATGTTTTGGATCCTTTGACTTTACGGCAAACTTATGGTTAAAAAATTAATAATACATAACCAGCAATAACCTAGGATTAAAGAAGACTAGACCGAATTTCGATCACGGCGGCCGGTCTCAACGGAGACTAGCCATCTGCACAGGACAAAGTTTATAATGCGCGAGTGTATGCCCAAGCACACGTGCACCCTCTATTCGGACTTTAATCCGACGCGACCAGCAGGGCTAGCATGAGTAGGAGACAATTTTATCCCCGGGGAAAGGAGAAAATGTTTATACCCTCGCTTAGTTTTATCCACCCTTTTTCCCCACGAACATCGCGGCAGAACTCCCGATACCATCCACATCATCTGGATGATTGGCGGTCCACCACTGTGCAATTTAGAAGATGTTTTCTTCCTCGCACGACCTCCTTGTGGAATCGATTACCTTCAGCGATTTTTCCGGACCGATACGACTTAGGGACCTTGATGAAAAGAGCATACTCCTTTTTAAAAGGCCGGCAACGCATCTGCAATTCCCCTGCTTCCCCTGGTGTTGCAGTTGTTCATGGACGGCGGTAGTCGGATAGATTTTTTGTATGAATATAAACTTAAACCCACGTCCAATGAACTAGGATAGAATTGTCCCTTTCAAATGTCAAAAAAGCATAATTTTTTATCTTTCATTTGGCTCCATGCTATGGACGGGGGATATACTTCTCCCCGTTGCCGTGCTTTGGCATAGGATAATTGAGTAAGATAATTTTATCTCTTGTCAGTGGATATAGTCGGGGGATAAAATGTTTGTCCCCAGCCCATGCTAGCCGTGCCGAGAGAGATCAAGTGCAAGAACAACAGCTTTACGTGCCTTTCAAGGCACGGGTGTGAAACACCGACAACTTCCTGAATTCCGACTGTTACTGAGAATTCCTTATCAGGAAACCCCAAGAACCGATTTTAGTCGGACCCGGGTGATTGACATGATTTCATTTTTATTAACTATAAAATTGAAATCTACTAGCTGTTCCCTGCGATTTCGCTCGCGTGTTAGGGTTTTTATTTATCGCGCGAAACCCTAATTCTTTTTCTAAAATAAAAGTAGCTTAAGTTACTCCTTATGAATCATCTATCTGCCAGTGAAAGTCCCGTCAAAATCGTTCCAGCCGTTTTGGAGATTAGCGGGAACAAACAGACACAGACAGACACAAAAATTTAAAAAATTGTATTTTAGCTATTAAGTACCGTATTTGCTTTCATATGTATTTAGAAAAAAACTGTAATTTTGACATTACAAACATACACTTCCATTTTATTTATTTGTATAGATATAGATAAGCGATTTCGATTGTAGTAAATCAACTAAGCTAACTTCCTCCTCATCATCGCACTGAGAGTAAACAGCGCGCAGATAAGAAGCGACTCACAGAATAAGTGGTACCTAGGTAGAGAAATATCATAAAAGTAAAAATGTTTCACTGACCTGATTGTGGTAGTGAGCTAGCGGGTGATGCGGCACGTGCCGCATGGCCGGGTGCAACATCTCGCCGCCGCTGCTACTGCCCTCTACCGCCTGGATAAACAGATAGCTCAGCTACTTTAAACCTGACTGCCATATGGCATACGGCATTTCCTACGTGGTAGAGTCTGAAGCTGCAGCTACATGACGGTTGTGGCACGAATCGGGAATGACCGAACTCTCACAGAATACCATCGTAGTATATCGATAAATCTGATACGATATCAGCTTAACGCTGCTGTATTTCATATGGTAAGTGCTACACTTACCATTTCTCTACAGAAACGGAGACCTTTTTTACTGGAAACGAGGCATTCCATCTTAGTTTTTCCTATCTAGTATCTATCCTCGACCAATCAAAATGCAGATGGGTTACAACGCATCTGCATTTTGATTCTTAATCGAGGATAGAAGTAGATGTCTATGGGCCACAGCATCCACTCACCATTAGGCGGACTGTGTGTTCATTTGTCACCTTTATTCTATTAAAATTAGTGAATCCATCCACCTTAACCCATTCCGTCCCATAATAAATATTCAACCCTAGAACCCTAATAATAATAATAAACACTCACGCCTATCACTCAGAGAGGTACGCAGAGACTGCGGACTTCTTTTGGCACGATCCTGTCACAACTCGCTCGTCTCCTTTACATTTATATACCTCCGCATTCATATATGCTCTTCGGTTAAGGGTATTCTTACTTCAAATATATCGCCAATTTGGTCGATAAATTCTCCCTTCTCGACCCTGCCGTTTGGTAGTAGTATAATGATTCAACTTGCAGTCACTTACCACTGGCTGTTCATCCTTGGTCTCTGCCTCGTCGCCTAGTTCTACCAGTTGGAGCGCTTCTTCTAGAAGATCGAACCTGGACTCTTCGGTGTTGAACAACTCGCGCGGCAACTCACCCTGGATAACGTATTCGCCTGGAATAAAAAAGTGAAATAAGATTTATGCATACTGATTGTCGATCGTAGTGTTGTCGTCCAGAGTTTTTGACGTTGTTTTTCGACATATATTATACCGGATATCTATAGAAAGCCATTAAACTTTTATGATATTTCCTATAATCACCTCTTACAACACCCTTACGTAGTAGAGTCAAGTAGCAGCTATATGATGGTTCTAGCACTAATAGGTCGGCTCGATCGGAGAGGGACCACGCTCGCACAGAATACCAGCGTAAAATAGCAGCTCAACACTGCTGAGTTTCGTATGGTGAGTGTAGAAAACCGAAGACACTTTTTACTGGAAACGAGGCATTCTATCTTAGTCCTCAAGGGTGACAACGCATCTGCATTTAGATACGTAATCGAGGGTAGATGTAGATATCTATGGGCCACAGCAACCACTTACCATCAGGTGGACTGTGTGCTCGTTTGTCACCCTATCCTATAAAAAAAATCACCTCTTACAACACCCTTACGTGGTAGAGCCACGTAGCAGCTATATTATGGTTTTAGCACGAATGGGTCGGCTCGACCGGGGTACGACCACGCTCTTACAGAATACCGGCGTGAAATAGCAGCTTATTAAAGTAGTTGTGTTTCGTATGGTGAGTTTAGAGAACCGCAGACCCTTTTTACTGGAAACGAGGCATGCTACCCTAGTCCACCTGCTAACGACGCGTCTGAACGACGTGATCCAAATAAGGTCATATACATACAATATTTCTATTATCCAGACGACGGTTTATAGCTATGCTCTGAAACGATTTGTTAAGGTACACTGTAGAAGGTCTGATGTTAATTTAGAGTGAAACTTAACAGTTTCACCCTAAATTGCTAACGCACCACCTGCCCGAAAAGACAAAACAACGTCTGCAGGGTCAGCTAGTTTAATTATACATTTTAATTCATTTATTCATTCATTCATTACAGGCTATGAAAAATCGTTTTTTATAATTTTAATATGAGAGGGGGCAAACGAGCATACGGCTCACCTGATGGTAAATGAGTATCACCGCCCATGAACAACTGCAACCCCAGGGGAATTTCTCTAGTGGTAGAGCCACGTGGCAGCTTTTGCTGTCGCACGGATGGGCCGGCTCGAACCGGGGCGGTACCACGACCTCACAGAAAACCAGCGTGAAGTAGAGGTTTACCTCTGGTGCAGGTGACCGGAGGCCCTTTTTACTGGAAATGAGACATTCCATCTTAGTCCTCACGGGTGACAACGCATCTACATTTTCATTTGTAATAGAGGATAGATGTAGATGTCTATGGGCCGCAGCAACCACTTACCATCAGGTGGACTGTATGCTCGTTTGTCACCCTTATCCTATAAAAAAGTGCGTTGCCGGCCTTTAGAAAGGAGTAAGCTCTTTTCTTGAAGGTGCCTAAGTCGTATCAGTCAGGAAACATCGCCGGTGGTAAGCTATTCCACGGAGAAGTTATACGAGGAAGAAAACTTCTAGTGAAACGTACAGTGGCAGTCTACTGTTTCATTCCCCTCTATTACCTCTTACGACACTCACGGGATGATATAGGATATTAAATCTTCTTACGCAGTCCCTAAACCCTTACTTGCTAACATCATATTAAGACTATATTAGACTACAATGCGGTCGTAAGGTAAAGGGCTGTTAAACACTTCTTTTGTATTTTTTTGGCTGTTATAAAATTGACGCCTCCGTGGCGCAGTGACATGGCGCTGAGGGCCATTGGTTCGAATCCCACACGGAATAAGTATTTGTATGGTCTGCAAATAATTGTTCCGGGTCTGCGTGTTTGTCCTTGTGAAATTTATGTATGTAAACTGCTCCTACGACACAGGAGAAGATCCTATTGTGAAAGTAACGTTAGTATTAAAAGACAAAAGACTGAGACTTAAGACTTTATAAACTGAAATGCAGTCGGAAGGCAAAGGGCCATTATAAAGTATCTTTTACATTACTTAGTACAATCATAAGTTACTTTAAATGGTTACCAGCGTGACGCCCCTTTAATAATTTAAAAACCAAATAACAGTACTCAACGAAACATAAATCAAAACTCGGTACCTACGTAATTCGCAAAAATGCCGAAAGAACTAAAACCAATAAATCATCACTTCCAACTGACCACAAAAAATAACCCTTTCAAAGACCGGTGGTCATAATCCGTTTAAGTAAGAAAGGGCCTTTAAGGCCTTAGACCATAATTATGCACGGTAGCCATAGGGTTAGTTGTACGGAGGGATTTATTGTAATACTGAGTGACATGCGGTCGGATTTTGTTTTAATGTAAACGGGACGCTTTGACCATACAACTGAGATAATAATTGTGGATTGTCGACAATGTTAATTTTAGAAGTGTTGAAAATTTAATTGGGTATAAATAAGTTTTAAAAATTACAGCCTCGTAAGCTTAGATAAGTGGTCGCCGTAAGTATCAAACTATCGAGCAACCCGGTTTATATCCCTGCCGGCACCAATGAAATTGTCGATTGCAATTTTAAGTACTGATTTACCACGTGCTGCGCGGTGAAGGAAAACATTGTAAGGTAACCTGCCGGTTTGAGGAACAAAATGTTTGAAAGGAATAAAGAAAGAGATATTGATTTGGCTAGATACTAGGTACATAGTGGCTAGTAGGTACAGATCGTATCGGCATTTTCATTCTTAAGCCACAGCGTCCACTTACCATTAGGTGGAATGTGCGTTCGTTTGTCACCCTTATTCTTTAACTAGCTGTTCCCCGCGACTTCGCCGTTTTTTTGCACGGAACTCTAAAATAAAGTAACCTAAGTTACTCTATACTAAGTTATAACATCCGCTATCTGCCAGTGAAATTATCTACTTTGAATACATATCAGAAGCGATAAAAGTATTTATTTTGATAAAAATCAATTCGTTACTGCAAAATGTACAATGAAAATAATGTATTAAATTTTATTGTATTTATTATGATTCACAATTTTGTAATAATGGCTTACACGTAAAATACAGATATATACTGTCGCGGACTTTTTTGTAGAACTATTTAGGAGAGACAATTCCACCATACTTTATATTCATGTAACTCTTACAGTTTTTGCTTCTCACACCAAAATAACTCGCAGATGACAGATTTTGTTTCAGACTTACTTAACATTTAACGTTATATTTTGTACAATTTACACAATATCTTTATGAGTTATAGCTTACATGTTATGTTATGTATGTTATGAGCTATATTATTGTAAAGTTTCATTAAACTACATTCAGTAGTTTTTGCGTGGAAGAGTAATAAACGTCCATACATCCTCACAAACTTTCACATTTATAATATTGTTATTATAGTAGGATATCCTATATAAAAAAAACAAGTATCTGTACGGCCCACTAATAATTATTTATAGACTAGCTGTGCCCGCGGCGTAGCTCGCGTATACAGGTTTTACATAAACAATTTGTCGTTTAGGTAAGAGAATATTAAACGATTTATTTCATTACTGTATCAATAAGCGGTAACTAAATAAATCATTATCATCAAAGTTCTAAGTCATTTATGATAGAGCTTCTGTGTAAACGACGTGAGTAGTAGGCTTAGCCGGGGTGTACACTAAAAGGTTACGGGGGCTACTAACGCGGGAAAAAGCAACATAGAGTTGGCCATGTGCAAAACAGTCAGTACTGAGGTACACTCCTACAACGCGTAAAGTTTGACCTTGCACTTTATTTACGGTCATCGCATAACACACGCTCACTGTAACTGGGAACTGAACGCGCTTAAAACTGAAAGGAAAGTTACTTCTTAATAGAGGGTTTTTGGGCAGTGCTGCCAGATAAAAAAAAACTAATTCAGCTCTAGGACAACACAAAAAGCGCTAGATTTCATGAAAACAGCGCTTTAAAAAAGCCCTAGATTTCGCGCTAAATTAACTACAAACAAAGTTTGAGTTTTTTTATATAATCATAATAAAGAAAACAACATTAAGTTTTTTTTCTGGCAATATTTTTTTTGATGTATCAATACTTCGCAGGACATCGACTTATAATTATGGCAATTGCTGTCAACAGTAGTTAGTACTGTACGAACAATAAAAATGTCATTAATTGTTTTAAAGTGCAATGTATTTCGCAACTTAGTTTCAGATGTCAGCATCTGATTGCGGTTGCTACACAGTTTCTTTGTGTTATAACTTCTAAGTAACTTTTAGGCTGTGCTCTAAGCAACTGACTGAAACTGAATAAAGCAAAATAAATGCGTTGTCAAAACCATGAACAAAAAATTTATTAAAGGGGTTTTCCCGCTTATAGTCGTCGGTAAAAAATCAAGTTGATCATCCTAAAGGGGAAGCCAGGAGATCCATAGCACAGGGTATCTTAGTTTGGACTCGTCTCCCATGCTCTTTGTTTTGTGGAAAAAATATGTTTGAAAAAGATAAACTGCAATGTACTATTTGTGGGAAAAAATAATAAAGGTCATTATTATTATTATCGGTAACGTGGACTAACAGTGCTGCTATAAAAGAGTTAATAACCCGCTAGTCGCTAAAATATTGAAATGTGTGCTAAATACACCAAAAAGCGCTGGATTAAGCTAGGTGCTAAAATTTCGAAATGCGCGCTATACATTCCAAAAAAGCGCTAAATCTAGTTCCCAAAGCGCTAAAGTGGCAGTACTGATTTTGCGTATATTATAAATACAATATCACGACATTTCGTTGCAAAATTTTTATTTTTGGTCGGATTCCGTTGTATGGCTTCGATGGATACAAATTTCTTCAGTAAGTCTCAGAATAGAATAGAATAGAATAGAATATTTCTATTACGTCCTTTGTGTGAGAAAACATCCTTTTTAAATCTCTTTTTGTGTTTTAAGTATAAATATATTAATTATGGAACGTTTTTTTTTACACACAAATCTTTTTATTACTATTTCTGAGATTTTATGGCGCCATTGAACAAATTCGAACCTACATTTCAAAATAATAATCATTACTTACGATAGAATTAACCAAT